ATCTGCTAAAAATTCTAACTCAAAAGAATACTGTAGTGCCAATGCACTTGAAATAATGAAATCTTGAAAATTGAACATTTTCAGAATAAGATTTTCATATGAATGTTGCATGTTACTGTAGGCTGTTGATGTATAATGTATAAAGAGTGATTTTTGCAGCATCTGTTATTTTGAGTTTGTTTTGTTGAAAGTGTCAGGAACACATGGCGTATGGTTTGACTTGCAGGTGTGTTGAGTTGGACTGCTGGGATGGAAAAGGTGAAGATCAGGAGCCCATAATCACCCACGGCAAGGCCATGTGCACAGACGTCTTCTTCAAGGTGAACACAAACACAGAAACCTTCAGTGTGTGCGTTCACAATCAAAATCTTTGTGTCGTTTTTTTCAGTAAATGCTGCAAAAGAATCGTCTGCAATTTCTCTGGAGCTTTAAATAGTCAATTCAATGTATTTGTATTAATGCTTTATCCTGAAAAACATTTACAGTATGTTATATGCAGGACGTCATTCAGGGAATTAAAGAAACGGCCTTCCTGACATCAGAGTATCCGGTGATTCTGTCCTTCGAAAACCACTGCACGTACGTATTATCCTTATTAATATCTCACAAACTAGATGAATAAATCATTATAATAATTTAAAGGATTAGTTCACCCAAAAAGTTAAGTTTGCTTAAAATGAGTTTGATACATGTAGAGTGAGCATCACTTGCTCCGCAATGGATGCTCTGCAGTGAATGGGTGCCGTCGGAATGAGAGTCCAAACAGCTGATAAAAACATCACAATAATCCACAAATAACAGTTTGAAGTTAAAAGCATTTTAATGATGGAGTTGTTTCAGCTTTTGTCTTCTCCAGATGTTAACTGATGGAGTGGAGTGGTGTGGATTACTTGTGGATTATTGTGATGTTTTTATCAGCTGTTTGGACTCTCATTCTGACGGCACCCATTCACTGCAGAGCATCCATTGCTGAGACACTGATGCAATGCTACATTTCTCCAAATCTGATGAAGAAACAAACTCAACTACATCTTGGATGGCCTGATTGTGAGCACATTTCCAGCTAATTTTCATGTTTGTGTGATCTAATCCTATAATAATTATGAAAGAAATGCACAGTATGATTTCACCTGTGTTGTGTTTGTCTCAGGAAACATCAGCAGTATAAACTGGCGCGCTACTGCGAGGACATTTTTGGAGATTTGCTCCTGAAACAGCCGTTAGATGATTTCCCGGTGTGTTTAATTGCACTTTAAACCTGTATTATATCGTGTGTTTATTCAGAACCCATAACACAATTACTAGCTAAAGTTTTACTTGAACTCTGTCCCAGATGGAGGCCGGGTCTCCACTGCCGTCTCCAAATGACCTCAAAGGAAAAATCCTCATCAAGAACAGAAGATTAAAACCTGAAGTTGAAAAAAGTAGTGATATCTTTACCACAGTTATTTCTACCAGATGCAAATAAAATAAATAATTAATTAATATCACATCCTCATGTTCTGGTCTGATATGATGTTCTGGTCACTGAAGTAATACATGAAGTAACTATGGTATTTTGGAATTAACCATAGTAAATATTTGTTTTTGTGAAGTAGTTTCATTGTTAGTATGTCACGAAACGTAATTCTCAAGGTCCTAAAACTCATAGAAAGTGATGTATGTTAATACGCTTTTTCAAACAGAACAGCTGGAGCACTTCAGGAAGCACATGGAGGCCGGAGAGCCGAGCATCTCCACAAACATGTCTGAAGATGAGAATGAGGAGGAGACATCCACCGGTGAGCAAGAGTC